CACGTTGTAGTTGGGATGTCCAGTCTTTAGACCAGGCATCCTCAATAAATCGTCTAACCTCTTATTTAAGGAAGCTTATTGTTGTAAAAAGATATTTTTAATTGGATTTTCATTTGCAGCTCTTCTTGCTAGAGAGTCTGCTAGCTCATAACTTTCAATTGCAATATTCATGTGGCTTAGGCACTATGCAAGTGGGATATTTTCACTTTTTCCTTTGAGACAGATTTGGTGAGAGAATTGGTTAGAGCCTTTTTGAATCTTTTGGAGGGATGCTTAGCTGTCAGTGAATATGAAAATGTTTCTTGATAATGATGTTTGTTTTGCATGTTCAATGGCCTTCAGAATGCAGAAGGTTTCCGCATCTGTAATATCCATACCTTATCCGAGGTTAAGTGAGACACATTTGACTGGCTCAGAATATGTGGGATAGATAATATACCCAATACTACTCCCTTTGCCTTCAGTCAGTGACCCATCTGTGTAGAGTTTGGTAGAGGAGTCTGTAATTAGAATTAAGCATTGGTTGTGTTCAATTACTGCTTCTTCTTTAGAAGAGCTGGAGATTGATACTCTGAGGGATATCCTAAGCCAAGTGTCACGGTTTCAGTACAAAATGCTTGGGCGGTCTTGTAAGTACAGTATATTAATTATAATTCTCTAGAGAGAATTCCTATAGCTAGAATACAAATATATACATTCTGAGATACTCCTCTTCTTTAAGGTTCTCCCTATGACTAAAATAACACGGACTCCTCGACAATACTCTAGAAGATTCTTGATACACCTATTGTCCTCATAAACCTTCAGTGTGCTTCCAGAAGGTTCAAAGATAAAATCTTTTAAGCTCCTTGTATTCCGAGATCCTTCTCGAAGATTGCCTTGCTTTCATTGCCTGCGCTAGCCAGCGTAGGATACAGGAATTCTTAGGCTTAACAGCCGTTACACCAAGGAGGATTTCATCTGTTATCTTTAGCCACCAGCCTGTGATTCAGAGTAAGTTGGCTTAATAGCTTTCCAAGCTTTGCTATTTGTGATATAAGAATTGTTATTTCTTGTAGGTCCCTTGAGTCTGGTTGAAAGGGAAAACTCAGCTTATCCTCAACAGGGCTGTAAAGAAGTTTTGAACTAGGATGTGCCTTCTCGGGCCGGAGAATCCTAAAGGTATATAGACTCACATGTTTGAGGTGACGTATTTTGGTGGGTAAGATAGCTGTCTCAACCTTCATAGCTTACCTTGGGGCCTGGGAGAATGCCCCTGTGATAGAATTGGACTCTATTCTGTATTTTTTCATAATAGTAGGTTAGTGATATAGACCCAGCCCGGTTGAGTCATAAAACAGATCCATAGTCCATGACTAAGGTCACACAAGAAAAATAAAACTGACGGAGAGAGTTAAGTTTTGTGTCATTTGACGGCCTTGCAAAATTTTTGAGTCGTTCCCACACTGTATTGCCAAGTTGGAGTTGCTTCTGCACATGGCATAAAAAGTTGAGATTTCGATCAAACCAGATACTAAGCCATCTTACCACTTCTTTGAGTTGAAGTTAGGTATCTTGTACTTTTAAAGAGATAGTCATAGGCTATCGACGTGGATGAAATTGTATCAGCTCTGATTTATCCACTTCGAAGATTATGTGGTGTTGATTGGCCTTTTGGATTAGGAAATCAGCATAGTCTTGAAGGAATGAAATATTCTTTTCTATGGATGTTGATGCTGTTGAGATAGAAATTTCATCAACATAAGATAATTGTAGATAATTATTGCCTCTTACTTCTGGGAGAAATTATTTAATTAAGATTAGAATGAGAATAGGTGAGATAGGACCCCCTTGTGGTGTGCCTGATACTTGGTGCATCTGAATTATCTGGCCATTGAAGGAGAGTCGAATTCTGCGCTGGTTCAAGAAAGACTGACACCAAGAAATATAAATAACTGGTAGGTGTAAGTAGTGTAGAATTCTAATTAAATTTACTGGGTCAAGCCAATCAAATGCCCCCATCATATCCAGGAACAGTGTGCTGTTCATAAGTTTTTTGGTATGGTTTTCTTCAAAAAAAGCTTGTAATATCAGAGCTGCATCTATAACAGACCTTTACTTCCGTCCAACTATTTGACTTGATTCCAAGAGGTCACCTGAAACATTTGCTAGATAGGAAAGTCTGTTGGCAAATAATTTCTCCAAAAATTTCGACAGGCAGGGCAACGGAGAGATGGGTATGTATGCCTGGGGTTCAGAGTAATCCTTTTTTTTCTTATTGGAATAATAATTCCAATAGCTTCCTTCCAGGAATCAGGATAATGAACACCCTGAAATAAGGCTCGATAAGCTTTGAAGATAGAGTTTGGTAGAGTTTGAACAGCATACTTCAGCTTTTACCATCCAATTTGATCTATTCCTGGTGCAGTTGACTTGGTTGGAACAACTCGAAGGAATTACTCTTGGTTGAGTTCTGGCTACTTCCAGCTCATCTTGGCTCTGGAACATGATGGAATCTGGGGTGTACTAGTAGAGTCTATATTTTTTGGGAGTTGGACTTTGGAAATAGTTTCAAAACTAGAGCATCAGATTTTGCTGCAAATGATAGTGCAGTTAATGATTCATTACAATCAGGTAAAGTAATAGAATATTGAAATACAGTATAAGCTGTCTTCCCTTGTGCTTGCTCCAAAAATGTTTCCCAACGTTTGGTTTTGTGTTCCGAAATGAATCGAAAGTATTTGTTCGTAGTCCTTCAGGCTTCCTCTATGATCTCAGGATCTAGTGTCTTTTTTGCCAGTCATCTCAAGTGGTGGTCTTTTCTTCAAAGATTTGCTAGCTCATCTATACACCATGATTTGGATCTTGGTGAAGTTCTACTTCTAGGAATGGAATTGTTAGCAGCTTGATGGATTATTATCTTTAGTAGGATAGCTATTCCATCAAAGTTCCTGATGTTGATAAGTTGCTCCAACCCGAATTTGCCTTGCTTTCAAGTGCTGCAAGATTATTTCCAAAGATATCCCAGTTAGCTTTTATCAAGTTGAAATTTGCAGGTTGATTCTCTCCAGCATTTAGAATTGATGGAGTGGGTGAGGTTGAAAAACTTATAATTACACGGTCTGGCCCTGCAGACTCACTATATTTCCAGTTGCGCCATTGAAACCTTTAGGAACTAGAGACGTAGATCAGATGAATAATGAACGTTTTCTGTGTGTTAGATCTGTGGAAGGTTCCACCAAAGTCCTTAATGATTTCACCATCATCGAGGAGAATGGCATGATTTTTTTCCATATATGTAGCAAAAGTTTGGGCATTTGGAGAAGGTGAGATGATGGCTGAGTTTCAAGATGGGTGATAGGAGTTGAGGTCTCCTAAAAGCAAGAAAGTTTCATCCCAATTTATATCCAGCTGTAAAAGTCGTTTAGTAGTGAGTATTGGCTCAGATGAGTCTTAAGATTTTTTATTGCAAATGTTTTGGAGGTAGAATGACCCTTCAGGGGTGTCAATCTGATGAATCTGCATATCTGGATCATGAATAAGATCCAATCTTGGTGAGATATTGATGGTACAGTGACGTCTGATATATGCTATAACTCGAGGACGTACTGAAGCAACTTGGTGTGTGGCAATTGGAATATAGGAGGGGTGAGAAAGAGGTGAATACTTTTTGGTTATTTTATTATGATAGAGGTAAGGCTCTTCAATACAAAGAATTAATGCGTCTTCCTTTAGAACCACCTCGAAGAATGATTGAAGGATTTCTCTTCTTTTTTCAAATCGTTTAATGTGTATTCAGCTATAGAGCTATGACATAAGACCAGTGCTATGTATACATTTGGGATGTCTCTTCTGACGTTAGAGACACTTATACACTGGATTTCATTTGTAAATACCAGTATGAGTTATGTTCGCTTACACAAACAGTCAACCCTCCTCCGTTAGTACCCACTAAAGGGAATTTCGAAACCTTTGGTTATCCAAGCATGCCTTCGTCATCCATGCATACCAGCGCCGCGTATGATTTCTCTTCCTCTCGCAGTACTGTGCTGGCAAATTTTGATATGATCTATCATAAAAGTGCCAGACATAAACTCAAGTAGCACAATATACAACACATACATACACATACATACACACATACATCATATTGACGGCAAATAACATTGTGACGAGTAGTCTCTTGTGCCTGAGCTTATTTCTAGCTAGTATTTTTGTAACGGAATAAACTTTGGTACGCTAAGAAACTTTTATAATCTAGCTGTGGCGCTAGGAGTTTGTACAGTAACTATTAGGTGAGTATTAGTTTAGGAGTGATACGGTGAAATTGATAACTTGGGAATACGTAGCAAAATTTTAAGACCATTTTTCAGATCAAGACCTTGCTAAATAGGCTGTACGGTGTGCAGCAAAAATTGTTAAGTGCAGTAGTAGAACCGTGAAGTGCTCCATCACTCAGATTCGGTTACCTACATTAGAGTCGGGATATTTTAACATTAATCCGACCCAAGATAGCAGCTCGGAAAATCTGATTCGGTGAAACTTGATTATTTTTCGCGGTATCAGCCTAGATGGTGTGAAGGTATGTTTCCTTAAACCAAAGCGTTGCGAGTCATCTTTGCTTGATGCCTACGCATGAAAGTCCAGTGTTTTTGGTGAGGGAAGATGTTAGAAAGGGTTGTTTACGGATGAGCCTAGAGCATGAGTGTCACTAAAATCAAAAATATCACCCAGTATAATTGTATGTCATGGATCACATGAATTAGCTAGATGGTTGAACACATACTGAATGATTTTAGGAAATTATGCTATGAGAATATTGGACAAAGTTCGTGTCACTCTCGTAAGATTGCGTCGGTATTGTTTTCACTACTGATTTGTTAAAGATATACCATTTTTACATTCACTAATTCTGGCTGTAATTGACTTTATGTGATGACCAAAAGTATATGTCGATTATTATGGCTGTGTATATATGAAGATCGCATAGATAGATAGGAAAACGTCCCGATATTCGGACTTCATCGTAGTTGATGCAGTTTATTCATGCCGACAATACATGTGACTAGATCCCAGTCGTCATTCTTTCCCACCCAGTCACAAACAACAATCCCCGTGCAGCCATTCCCTAACAGATCTTTATCAAAACATTCGTTTCCCATACTGTGCTTTCGGCACAAATGATCTACAATATATGGATTAACTATGGACGCAACACGGTCTGGCCAACATTGAGTTCTCCAAAAGTTAGATGCACTAAGGAAATTAATGAAAAATGGGGGATGAGGATTAATTGTATCTTTCTTGCTCAGATTAATACCTGTACGAGCTGATCTAGTAAGTTGTTCGATAGCATACACCATTTTTGTTTTAATTAAACTAGATTCAGATACCTCATAAAAATCCTGAATTCGAATAGCGCCATCACAGCAAATTCCATCGGCACAATTATCTGGCCAGCATGTGGCATCAATGGCCCATCCTCGGTTATTGTTCTCAGCTCTGAGAGCATCATCAAGATTGAAACGACGTATGAGGACAATCTTACTGCGGACCTCACCGAGCTTTGGAATTCGAGTGTCGGTAAACCAGCGCCTTTGATCATGAGCATAATACTTATGAAGAATTTGACTCAGCTGCTCGTCGGTCGCTTTGCCGGTTCCCTCTCTTTTGAGCGAGAGAATAATAGCCTCAGTTGGATGTGCATCAAGAAAGGTATAAATAGCTTTGAGAAGACTGCGAAAGTATTTGGGCCCTGTTAGGGAGATAGGGAACACCCCGTGGACTAGACTTAAACGATCTTTGGAGGGGTCTTGAAGATCTTCGGGTTGAACGCGGATATCTAGGAAACGAACGCCATGATTAAGTTGCTCACTTATACTGACAGCCTGGCAGCGAACTGATGGCAATGCAAGGTGACAGGTGGGTGAATTGTGCGTACCGGGGATGCTCAATGCCGAAAGCGGTATTTCATCACTTAGGCTGCTCATCCAGCCATCGAGAGGTGCAGTCGAGAATAATGAGAGGTGAGATGTCTTAGGGTGATGTATAGCTATAAGCTGCGCACTTGAATCAGGAGTGAGGGACGTTAAAGCTATTGAGCCCGGGCATCGCTCCGATGTATTAATTTGATAACTCCGGCCATCCACTTCAAAAGTCAATCGCAAAAGTTCATCTGGATTCCTCTCTATTTCAGTAACTTTTGTCTCAAAGGGAGCGACGATGAAAAAACTCTCCTTTTGATTATTAAGTTTCCGGGATAAAGCCGTGTTTGGCGAGCTCGTCGTTTTATTGTTACTTGTCATACCGATGAAGTCCTTGCACAAGCTGTAGAGGCATCGCGAGTAAGATACATTTTGAAGTCGCTCTAATTGCTTAAATTCAACCGGCGTCGAGGTCAAATTACGAATCGTTAGAATTGGCCCGGCCATGATAACAATTTTGTGCTGACAGATAGTATCCAACGGTGAAACATATGTTGAAAGACATTTAGCTTAAACACCTACAGCATCTTGGGTTAGGTGGTGCTACGGTTTGCCATCTGTCAGGGATCCGGTCTGGATCAACATCCGTCCCCTGGTAAGAAGTTGTTATAGTACATGGCATGTGCGTTGAGAAGAAAGTATCTTATTTATTTCACAGATCGAGTTCATAGTCTCTCATAAGTTAAAATTGGTTTGTTAGTGCTATTAGCATCAGCCGATATATGAAGTTCGATGCTGCTTAACACGGTAAAATTCGATCGTACGAGATTCTAAGAAGCTGTGGTTCCATACCCATAATTTTACTGATCGCTTCTCCATTACCGACATAGGTCACACGAAGTTTATTGTCCCAATTACTTATCTGAAACGTTTTTTATAATCGACCTACAGATTAACTTTATTTCTACCTCGTGATGTTTTGATCAGAGACGTCTTCATACACCATGTAGACTAGTCTCCTGATTAGGTTCCGGGTAAGCTTGACACTCACGCTGATGGAGACTGTAGATCACTGACTCAAATGCAGTAGTGCTCTACCATGTAATGCGTCGCATTTTTTTCGATGAACTGATTGAGTTATTTGGGGGTAGTTTGTAACACTCAAACTCTCCGTATGGCCGATGGGTGTGGATAAGCAGAGGGTAATTGCCCTTTCTATAATATCTGAATGTTAGTTTAGCGAATGAGAGCAACCACATCAAACGGCTTTCTACGTCAAATTCATATTTAAACGAAAATGAGGGTGGAGCCGTATCTACATATGCTGTGCAGAGACATATTGAGGGACCGATAGAGTATTAGCCCAAGACAAGTATTGATCATGCAAATTTTTTTTGAAAAGTTCCGATTTTCAGGCATTGTCTTTTCACGCTTCTCTCTTGCCATGCTGCAACAATTTATCCCAGCTTAAAACTTATGAAGATTCTACATGGATTATTTCCCTTGATATACAAAAGTCGTTCAGGCGTCTTGCTGAATGTCTCTTCGAACTGCAAGTGGTGTCATACTCTAAGTTAGGATCTTATGATATGAGATAACGAAGTAGTGGAGGTTAAGTCATCGCGTGTATCTCAAGGCCACAGCATATATCACTAGTGTATTGTTTTATTTTAAATTAGATTATATCCTGTGATATTTCTCTTAGCCTAAATCATTCCAACCGCGTGAATCGCTACAGAAATTGCAGTAGATTAAACAGAAAACCCAACAAAAAATAACTCCAAAAGACAGAAGATTCATTTCTTCACAACCCAAAGAATGCGCTTCCCGCGCATTCCTCGCCCTTCACATCTCCCAATCTCCGCTGAGGGCTAGAAATTAATTGGCAGGTACTTTTGATACATGCTACCATTTTTTTTGGGTAGAAGATTCTGTGGTAAAGGTGGCTGGATTCCACGGGTAAACACTGAGCTTAATGATAATCAATAACTGATAATATATTAATGATCTTTGAAGTACCAAGAGAGAATAAGTGCGCTGTATGAGGTGTGGTCTGGGCCAGAGAGTAGCCTGATGTGCTGGATAGTCGTAGACTCAAGTAGTACGATAAACACAACCCTCTCGGCTTACCAAAGAGTTTCAAAAACTCCCCGCACTCGTAGACATCTATCAGTAGGGAAACTTGAGATAGATGACTACAATAGAGAGCCAAAACTATCACTCCTCACCAAAGGGTCGCGCAAACTTTAGTTGAACTTTGCCAGATGTCACATCGTCATCCCCCGTCTCGAGGGAGAAGAATTCCAGGCTATCTAGACTCTATCTGGGAAATCAAATCGGATCATGCACCACTAGACCATGCAGCCGCGGCCAGATATGCAGTGCCGCCCGACCCCACACTCTTACAATACTCCACTGCCACCTCAGACTTCTTTTTTTTTCTTGCATCAGATATGAATTGCGTATGCAGCTATCTGGCTATGACAAAATATCAAAGAAAAGTACAGAATAGATGATTCAACGCAAAAGAAGAGCACTCATGCCTCAGATTTAATTTGCAAGTACCACTGCGAAGTTATGCCGGCTTTTTCTTCACCCCAAGTCAACCCTCATCCGTGAATACCCACCCAGGGGAACGTCTCAAAAACCCTGAGTTATCCAGACATGTCTCCATCATCTTTCAACTTTTCTCCGCGCGATATTTAATTTGAGATGTCTCCTTCCCGAGTGGAGTGGGTGTCTAGGCTACTCAAACCATACCAGATAACGCCGCCAAGAGGCGGACCACGGCATCTTCCATTGTCGGCTTGTTTTTATAGTGTGAGCTTCACTCTCGCAAGCGAAGTCTTGGCACGCACAAAGCTCAATTCGTAAAACTCTTGCCGTAATTCGAAATTTCATGCCCGTCAAGACTGTATCTATCCCCTGCACTATTTGTTGAAGTTGTCCATATCCCTCTCACGTCCACCCCAAAGAGCTGTTTCGCAGATTTGTGCGCCACGCTTTGCTTCCTCCGTCGGGTATAAATATCGGCGTGGGCGTGTACTTGGTGTTCAACTGAGGCCAGAGAAGGTCGAAGAGTTGTGTGGTCGGTGGGATGAGGATGTACTAGGTCGTACTGGTGGACTTGATGAAGCTTAGTTGAGAATCGGACTCTTTGGGAGTGAAAGATTGACATGGTGGAGTAATTTCAATTTTTGCCTCGTGGGCCAACTTCTTTGATATTGCGAAATTTGACTGAACTTGGCACTGGGAGAATATTTCGCTCCCAGGTTCGTAGAGGGCACCGCATATAGGTGTTCAGTCTTGTCCTCCTTTTTTTGGGGGTTCTCTGGACGATTGGGCTTGACATGATTCAACAGATGGGTGAAGTCTGAGATAAGGCATGTCTGGATAACTAAGGGTTTTTGAGACGTTCCCCTGGGTGGGTATTCACGGATGAGGGTTTCCTTGGGGTGAAGAAAAAGCCGGCATAACTTCGCAGTGGTACTTGCAAATTAAATCTGAGGCATGAGTGCTCTTCTTTTGCGTTGAATCATCTATTCTGTACTTTTCTTTGATATTTTGTCATAGCCAGATAGCTGCATACGCAATTAAAATCTGATGTAAAGAAAAAAAATACTCCACAATGAGAAGCTTCTTTCCGAATATTCGAGATTCTGTCCAGACTCGACATTATCTTACTTAGCTATCCCGAATATCTGGCCCCTCGATTTTGATTCTTTCGGTCAGTTCTCGACTTGTCGTAGGCATACACATGTTTGCCATCTGAGGCTAGAGGCTGGGTCAACGAGGGATGTGATTATAGAAATCGAAGAGTACTTGTATAATGGAAAAGGATTTAGTCAGATTAGATATGTAAGTATTCCTAGATAGTGCCTCGTAGGCTGCTTTTCGGTTTTACGACAACTATTGGAACTTAGCACTGCGTAAATATCTCATTTCCAGGTTCTTTTTTTTTAATTCATATTGTATTCAGCTAAAGGGCAATGACAATTGATTTCCAGGTTCGTACAGGACACAGGACACAGAACATAGGTGACAGCTATTAAATATGCACTGATGCACTCGTAGCTATTGTAATCTTTTATTCATTCGTGAATCCGTTTTCGCATCAAGAAACACGAGACATGCCCACGAAATCCTCCGGAAGCTATACATAGATTAGATTAGGTTTTATTATAGTCCTGTCTGAGTCTATGACTATGGAGGACTTCTAGGATCTACCTGAAAGAAACTAGGAAGCTATACATAATCTGGCCGGCAATGACGAATTCTTCACCTTCCAGTGTTGCCGGTGTAATCGCTCAGTAATCTCTACATATCTGGGATAGCCGAGGAGAATCACATACTGTTGTAATTGTTGGAAATTCTGACTCTCGAATTTAGGACTCAACCACTACCTGTTTCGTCTCGGGTTCCCGACAAGATCGACTCTCTCCACACATGTCACGAGTGAGCTAATCGTGCCTACTGTTGCATTTACAATTGGATATTTACGTACTACAGTGTACCTTGGATCATCATGGTAGATGAGAGGTGGCTGGTCATCACTAGGTTTGACAGGCACATGAGACTAGTAGGAATTTCTCCCCTAATATGTATATATAAGTCCAATGTTCACATAGTTGTAAAATATCAAGTCTTCTTTACTTCATCATATTTATCCATATAATATTGTACAGAGTATATTTTCCAACAGTAATGAAGGTATGAGATGTTGAATATTCTAGGGATAGTGCAGAGGGTGGATAAGGATTATCAGAGCTTGACGATATGATGAATAGCTTGGTTATATTGTTCTACATATCACAGTAGTAGATAGGACTTATATACACATTTTGGCACCCGCTATACAGTACATCACCGTCTATGCATGAAGTACTACAATCTTAATTCCAAGCAATACTATCCCACATTACTCTATGCCATTGTATAGAGCTGCGCCTCAATAGTCCATCGTAATGATAGCCATGTAGGGCTGTGCAGTACTCGCATAGATGTGTTGTATCCCTGGCACTTGGCAGAGATAAATATAGAGTAAATGCAATAATCACATCACAACACATATGAATTGAAGTCGAAATTAATCTCAAGCACATCTAAAATTGTTGACTTCTCGTCAATGTTGGTCTTGTCATTCTCACGAGAGTTCTCTACCTCAATGTAAAGGGTTTAAAGAATTCAGAAGTACTTGAAAGACGTTAACTCAATAGGAATTGATAATTTTTCCTTGGGAAGCTAATCTGCTTACGACGGCTCCTGTCCTTTATGTCCTCCTCAGCGTCGCGTTTAAGCTCCCCTCCTAGCCTGCCTGAGAATACTCCATTCTCCCCGGCTACCCTCTTTCCTGTGACATCCTCCCCCCCTTAGTACGTACTCCCTTGGGTCCTTCCTCATGCGCAACCTTGCATTAATCCTTATGCAACACTTAGATCCCTCTTTGTACGTATCCTTGCATTCTTCCCCATGCAACCTTTCGCGTCTCTGTAAGCGCTGCTTCGTTG